AGCTCAATAATTCCCTAGACGGAAGACCTGCCGTCGCTCGGACGGCCATTCTCTGTGCATGTTGTTTGTTTCGTGGGTGTTTTTTTGTTTTGCTCGATGGTCCAGGATGCTCCTCCAGGGTCCTCGCCAAGAAAAAAATGCACACGTCCGAGCGATGCCAGGAAGAACGCGGCGCCGACGCGGCAGGAATCTGTCGGTCTCCCGCGCGGGAGGCGCGCCCCGCCCCACTCGTGCCACGCATGTTGCAACAAGGACGACGTACTCTCCGTGCTGACCTGGAACTCGCCACTTTCTGCTCTTTGGTTTCGGGCAGGGTGGACACACCTCCCTTTCGTAAACCTCCCCTTAGTGAAAACGGCCTGGGACCGAAACCGACGGACCTGGACCCGCAGAAATGACGGCCGCGACGCCCTCTCGCGAGCCGAGAAACGCCCAAGTCACTAATCGACGTGTCAGGGTAGGAAGTCTATCCACCTCCGATTGTCTCGGGCAGGGCGGGAGGGCCCCGGATCCGGAGCCGCTCGGCCGGCTGCGGGGGAGACCGGGGGGGGTATGCCAACAGAGAAGAGGGGTCGGTCGCGGGGAGAGGCCTCGAGGTAGAAGAGCTAGGGTTCTGTTGCGCCCATCGCACTTGAGGACCACATCCCAGGAATGATTTCGAGCACCCGGAAGAGTGTCGAAGAAGTGTCGAAACAGTGTCGGGCGAGTGCCTCCCAGGGCCCGACGCGTGAAAACCCTCGAGTTTGGGGGATATCTCTCTGGTGCTCGAAGTTCAGTCTGGTGAGCAAGGCTAAAGTGGGTTGGAACATCATAAAGCTAAGGGAGGCCCTGCCTTCAGGTTCGATATACAGGACGGGGAGGAGCAGCAGCAGCAGCAGCAGAAACAGCTGCAGCAGGAAAGGAGCACGAGGAGCGGGAGGAACACCAACGAAGAACAAGGACGGGCCTCGGGGAAAGGCCCTGAGGCAGAAGAAAGAGCTGGGGGGGGGGCCTTGCCCAGGTTCGATGCAGAACGGGACGGAACAGCAGCAGCAGCAGCAGCAGCAGCAGCAGCAGCAGCAGCAGCAGCGGCAGGACAAGGAACACCCACCGAGGAGCGGGAGGAGCAGACGGGAGACCAGGGGGCAGCCGGAGGAGGGGAGAGGAGATGGGGCAGCAACGACGAGGGAGAGCTCGGCGAGCTCGGATATCCAGAGCTCTGGCCCGCTCCTGGGCGAGGTCGCCCTGCTGGCCGACGGGGGCGAGAAGCGTCGATCCGAAAGCGAGGCCAACGCTGCAGCGACAGGACCATGCTTTGGCACGTCGAGCAGGTTCTCCAAATGACCAGCAAACCTACGGAGCACTGCGCCCGGCGAAGGGCCCAACCCCTTGCAAGCGCGTGGCGACCACACACAGGGTCGCCCCAAGCACAGAAGCCCATCGAGGGATCTGTGGCGCTCACGAACGCCTCGCCGAAGAAGACAAGACCACACTCACCCCCCCCATTCGCACACGCACTGTCACAACTCATATCGGAAATGGGACGACGACAAATGCCACGGAGCGCGGGACGGGAGCAGAGAGAGGGAAAACATGGGGCTTGACTCTCTTCTGTCCGAGACAGGGGCCCCTGGTGGAACTCCCGATGGTGCCGCGAAGCGGATGGGTCTGGGAAACGCAACGTCGGTGGAGCTCCTTATGAGGTTATGAAACGTGTGAGGGGTGTGCCGAAATGATCGGGTGGGGCGCCATGCGGACCCAGTCACTGGGGCCTTTGGTGGAGCCCCCATGTGCGGAACGTTTGAGAGGGATACAACAATGGAGCGGGCCGCCATGCCACGAAAAGTGTGACAGGTGTGCCAGAATGGGGCGGCACCGTGTGGGCCCTGCCACCGAAGCCTCCCGTGGAGCTCCCCCATGTGAAGGATGTGCCAAAATGGGGTGGGGCGCCATGCGGACCCGTCCACTGCCTTCGGTGGAGCTCCCTACGGGGCCACAAGGGATACGCCGAAATAGGGCGGGGCACCGCGCGGACCCTGCCACTGGGGTCTTCGGCGGAGCTCCCAACGGTGCCACGAAGCCCGTGAGGGGTCTGCCGAAATGGGGCAGGGTGGCGCTATGCGAAACCTGGAGGAGGGAGGAGGGGATGGAGTAAGAAACGAAGGAAGTGGGAGAAGACAGGCGCTGCGAATTCAAAACGAGGACCCAACATACAAGAGGGTTGGGCATCACTTCTTGAAATGCGGGAGAAAAGCTGCCCCCCGCTCGGGCTGGGCACGGGGAGAATTGAGAGTAGTACTCATGTTGAGCATCTCTGAAGGAGGAGGGGGAGAAGGAGGAGGGTGAAGAAGAGAGAGCAGGAGAGAGGATACATATGCGGTGGAAGGTTGAGGAGAGATGGCCAACGCATCTTCTCCAGGAGCTGCTGGCGCGCAAAACGAGACCGGCGACGGCCTTCGAAGTGTCACCCCAGCCCGGTGTGCTATGCCCAGCTCGTCATCCGAACAGGTCGAAGTCCACG